AAGGTTGAGTTTTTGTGTATAGAAGATTTACGGCTCCACAAGTGCTCGGAAATCCTGCAGTATAAAGGGCAGGGACCTGCGTGGCACGAGTGGCTACGTGCTGGGTGGCTTCTCGGGGCCGAATCCAGCCTGTTCAGTGCAAAACCGACAAAGTCTTACCCAAAAAATCCTTGCTAGCAACTGATTTTCAAAAATGCATGCATGTGTCTTACTCTATAACATACCGTGTCCCTAGAGATAAATTTAGGGACAAAAACCTTCAGCGATGACAGTGGTAAGTAGAAATAAAATTTTTACAAGAATGAAGCTGGGAAACAACGGGCTTAATCCGGTGTCTGCTATGACATGCTGGTATATTTAAACAGGCCTTGGAGGATGTGTTCCCTCCATTGCACACATATTTTTTTTTTTTTAAGGAGAAGAAAGCAGCGCCACGGGAAACGTGGAAGCAGTGCCGACTCAGGCTGGTCTGAACCCTGCAAAAGGGCAAACGATGGAGGAAACCCCGAGTCCAGAAAAAGTGTGCGAATGCGGGACAGACTCTGGCAAACGTCGGTGAGTCTTTTCTGGAACGGGCACTGCAAGTGTTGTCTCCCTTGGTAGAAGAGAATAAAACCAAATTTTAAGCAGAGAATTTGCGGCTTAGCATGTAAAATACCTCCAGAGGATAGACACCATGTTTACAGACCAGGAATTATGATCCCACAGTCCAGGATTTACGTTCTGATGCCAAACTATTGTCTTTATTCCTTACCAAGAGACGTTGAGCCATAGATTTCAAAAGAATTGGATTAAATCTATATGGGGTTAATAAATTTATTATAGGGTTGATTATAGTTGCTGCTTACGCCTAGTAAACATGTTATCGGTCTTCCTGCTCACTTGTTTGCTGATTCCTTGTGACCTCTTGCAATATTGCACAGAAGCAATTCTTGTTCACTGTGTTGCAATCATATTATTCTTTTTTGTCTTATTTGTGCAGGATAATCTATGCTATCCTTGGAAGATTCAGGATGACCAACTTATGTGTAAGAGTCTCTGTCTTCTAGCATAATATAAAAACAGGGGGCCTGTCTTGGAGCACCAAAAATCTTTAGAGAGAAGCTCTTGTAGAAAACGTCTGAGCAAATATTTTAAAGTACATCCAATTTGTGGAAATTCCTATCAGTGAAATGTACTTTTCTCCATTAAAAAAAAATCAAACTTAGTAGAGTAGTGGTTCAAAAAATTTGGTGACGGCATTTCATATTCTCGTTACAATGCACTTAGATCCAAACTCTCTGATCGTATAAGCAGGTCACAATATTTTAAAGTCAGGCAGTTGCAGAGGGAAATAAGCAGTTGTGCCAATTTGTGCCCTCTGGAACATCCTACCACCTCAATGTACAGCACTGCAAGTACCCTCCTATTTCGTTCCCTGTTTGAAACATCCACTGGCTCCATCAGAAGCAGAAAGCAGATCTACAGACATCACATTTTTGAAGCTATTTAGAGAATATGTTGTAGATGTCAAAAGAAGCCTTCAGAGTGGCTTTAAAACCAAGGCCATAAAGATTCAAATCTAGAATATTTTGCGGAGAGTGATACGACTTGCTAAAACTGTACAAGTTCTATTGCTGCTTGAGAGATTTTACTTTACAAAAAAAGAAGCTGCATGAAGGGTTCTTGCAGTCCTAAATATAAAGAATGGAAAGAAAAAAGTACACCCCTCCTAAAACCTTGAAAATAAACAATCCACATTCTGTGCAAAGCTTCTAAAAATGAGAGTGTAATCCAGAAGTTGTTAGTTGTGCCTTTTGTTCCTTTATGTCTGGATAACTCTCCTCTTACGCTGAGCAGGAGGTTGACTCCAGAAGTCCCCTCCAACCTGGGCTTTTCTACCTTTCTCTTCTCAGGAGTCCCTGAAATATCAGACCCATTTAAAATACCAAATTTGCCATAAAAACAGAAACACCCGTGAAATCACTTGTGAAAGTATTGTAAAGAGGCAATGCCAGATCACATTTTTCTTTTGTGTTTTTTTAACACAGCAACCCTACGGGGTAAAAAATACTTCTCAAGGTGATTGATGAAGATTTGAAGCAGAACCCCCTTCTACCAAAGCCCTCGTGTACACAATCTCCGAAGTTTCCCTATGGAAAGCCAAGGCACAGCTATGCACGGCAAAGCGCCCAGCACCACTCGTTGCTTGCTGCCCTGCTCGGAAGCCAAGCGTCCTGTGTTGAGAGCCAAATCCCCGCAGGCTGCCCAGATGTCACTTGCTACGCAGTTTGTAGAAGAGAGAATAAAATAACGCACCTGGAATTAAGTCATTTGTGCACGACCCTGACTTTCTCTTGCAGAGGCAGAGCACCCCAGGGGGAAGGTAAAGCTGGGGAGGGGGCGCGGGAAGGAAGGACCACGGTGGCTGCGGCTTTGCTCAGTGCTAGGCAAAAGACGAGGATTTTCTGACTTTTTTTTTTTAAATCCTTATCCGTTGGGTCATTTTACAACAGATAAACCGTAGCTGACTTCAGTCTATCAAAGGCACCCAAATTCTCAAGTGCTATTTTTCCTCTACCTTTTCTACAGAACTATTCACAGCTTCAAAATCAAATAATTTCAGCCCAAACGCAGCCCCAACCCAAGCAGTAGCTTTGGTTTCTGTGCTCAGATTACATTCCATGCTGCAAACTGTGCTTTGCACCCCCTCCCCCCCCAAAAAAAAAAAGCCAGCTCAGGTTTGTTTGTTTTCTGGAGATGCCAAAGAGCTTTGGAACCTGTGACTTGGCAGGAGGACGCTTCCTCATCTGCTAAAGCAGGCAAAGACATTTGCAAGAGACAACAGATCGGTTTTACCAGAAAACTTAAGGGCAAAGACAGTGGCTTACTTAAGAAAATGGTTCATCCGCCCTGGACTAACTGTTCTTCCCCCAGATGCACAAGCAGTTGCAGGTCCCTGTGGCTGGTTTTGGCCATGCCGCCTTCCTCCTCCAAGCCCAGGCTCTTTAAAACACATCTCCGTGCAAATTGTAGGATCGAGACAAGGTGAGCGGGGAAGCTGACGTACTGGCACCCAAAGGAGAAGTGCCTGGGAGAGCGGGAGGTGTTGGAAAGCAAACACACCTGTGCCTGCTGTGGCCAAGCAAGCACAACTGTACCCCAGAATAAAGAGCGATGCCAACAGCGGCCAGAGAAGCAGCACTGGTGGGAAGGACCCAGCTTGCAAGGGGATCAGCATTTGTCCCCGTCTAGGCGAGCTGGTGGCTCTTCTCTCGGTGCAAGATCCCTGCCAGATCACCTTGTACAAGCACAGCAACAGCCTTCCTCACCACAAAAGCTACACATTTATGGGAAGAAAGGAGCCCAACACCCTCAGCTAGAATAAAGGTATTTCCAAGGCTGGTTTAAGATCTGACAAATTTGCTAATCGTCCCGACTCCAGGTCAGGTTCTCGCTGCTCTTGGGCACGCAGGAAAGCCTGGAGCTGCCGTCCTGTTCAAGCTCACCAGCTTTCACCGAGAGAGGATGAGAAAAGCTTCGTGTGACCCCCTAGGTAGAAGGCATTACTGCTTTTGCATCGTCAGTACAAGGTAAAGCAAGTAATGATTCACCCCGCATAATACAAATACTTTCATCTTCATTAATTTTACTTCCTCCTGCAGTTCCATTTCTGACAGCCCCACACCACACAGGGAGTTTGTATTCGCCCCTGACCTGCCTACACAGGAGAGCAAAGAAACAAGGTTGAAGATGGCAGCAAAGCTCCTGATAGTTATTCTTCATTTTAAAGAGCTTACAATGTTCTTGGTCTTCACAGACAAGACCAACTCTTGCCCACCCAGACTCCTGCTCTTCCCACGAGGTGAGGGGAGGCAGAAGGAGAGCAGGGAAGGGAGACAGATCTTCTCTACCAGCACAGCCATCCAGGGTCTTCTTAGGGACACCGGTTTCCAAAAAATGTGCAACACCTTAAAAAAAACCCACCTGGTTTTGGCCAGCTTTGCCCTACAACCCCGACTGTTAGTTGAGGTATCATAAAATCAGAAGCCAGGTCAGTCCTTGCAGCAAGGGGCTTTTCTGCCTGGGGTAATGGGAAACGCGGTCACAGCTCAAGGGTGATGTTGCAATGCCAACGAAGAGGAGGGGGCTTGCTGGACCCTTGCATGCTCAGTTAGTCTCAGCCCCCATAAGGGTCCCCAGTGTCTTTGTGCCAGGTGAGGGCACCCACCTTCAAACCAAGGAGTCACAGCTGCCCTAGCTCTCTGGGTCCTGTCCAAGCAGAAGGCTGTCTCAGAGGTACCCTGCTCCCAGCAGAGCAGAAGACCCTCCATGGACCTGACCCCACACAGCCACCAGAATCCTTTCTAAAGGAGGCAGAGGGACCCTGGGCCACCTCTGAGAGCCCACCCATGTTGGGCAATGGCGATGTGTAATCAGGAGGTCAATAACAGTGTGCAGCCTCAAAGGGACAGCAGAGCTGGGATGGGCATTGGCTTCCCTGCCCTCACGTGGGGTGGTGCTCACCTGCCAGGGTTTTTGGATGCTATTCCTTTAAGGCACAACAGGTGGAAATGCAGGGCTAGAGGTACAAGGAGTATTTAAAACAGCCTGGCACTGCCAGAGCCCGTGTCCGGCTGTGACAGGGAGACAGGACACTCGCAGAAGGTCCTGGGGTCAGCCACCGAGACACCAGCAAAACCAGGAGCGGTCAGTCTGAAAGAAAAAGCAAGAAGTACAAAGTAGCTTGCAGAAGTAACTTGGAGTGTAAGTACTACTTCTTTGTTGTCTTTCTGAACTGCAAGATCTTTTGTACTACCGCTTTGAGATGGGGAAGGAGAAGAATACAAGCCTCGAGACACTTTTAAGGACTCTTCCTCACACACATGGGAAGGGAAGCAGCAGTCCTGAAACAGGAGTGAATAGGTGTGCAGGTCTTGCTGGTGGGGAGGGGGATTTCCTTTGAAAGAAGGTCCGAAGCATAGGATCAGGCTTATGATGCTTACGTTTTCTTCTCTGCAGTAGATTTCTGAACTTTCCTTTCTGGGAAAAGGTTAATTATCATTACAATATTTGCATTAAGGTTTAACGTAGAAAATAACAAATGGTAGCAAATATTACTGTAGTAATCTAAACTGTTGCAACTCAGTCTATGGTCATTACAGTCTTTTGAATCACAACACGGAGATAATTGTCAGGATGTAGATTTTGAAATTTGAGAAGAAAATTGGTGCAGTTGTGTCCTAAACAAGCTCTGAAGAGCTGTCAAGTTTGTACAGTTAAAAGGAAGATAAATAGATACTGAAGCATAAGTGAATGAGATGTATGTAGTGTCCTAAGACAAGAGAAAGCTGGCAGACTCCTTTCACGTTTAGACCAAGAGCCAAGGGATGGGTTTCTGCACACCCGAGTTCTTCCTCTGCAAAGGCAACATTCATATGGGACTTTTAATGCATTTCACCTGAAGTACAGAGAAATGCCACCTCCTAACAGCAACCCTGCTGCTGTTCACGGCACGGGTACCGGCACCGTCCAGCCAGCGACCGAGATGGCGCAGACCGTGGCTGTGCAGCAAGTGCTGCTGGATCATTGCAAGTTCCTGGTCCCTGCAACATCAGTATTATCCAACTAGAATAATAGTGTTGAAGTTGGTTTCACTTTCCTGCCCGAGAGACAAGAAACAAAAAGTAAGGAACAAATGAACCATGGCACTCTTATCTGAAAAGCAACAAGTTGGTGCATGGGGTATCTAACACCTTAAAGGAACATCAGGTCACAAGTTAGCGTGTGGTGCATCTAACAGCTCAAAGGAACACAGAATTAGGCCAGCAGCACAATCTTAGCAGGAATTTCAGTCATTGCAATGAGAGCTGATTATTCTTTTTCATCTGTTTTCCAGAATATATTGCTCATATGGGGCAGTGTTTAACTGGCACTTACAAACATTCTTAGCTAGGAGGGTCATAAGTACTGCAGAAATTCCTAAAGACTGCCCTTTTCTTAGTAAATCCTGGTAATCTTCCGTAAGATCTGTCTAGCCGTTTCTGCTCACTGCATCACAAAACTAAGC